AGTGATTGTGAGGAAGGACATGATAATTGTTCAAAAATTTCTCTTCTTTTTTACTTCGAATTATTATTTATTACGACGTTTCGAAGGTTACTACCTTCTTCATCAGGTTGTAGTAACCTTCGAAACGTCGTAATAAATAATAATTCGAAGTAAAAAGGAAGAGAAATTTTTGAACAATGAACTTACAGTGTGATAGTTGTGAGAAAAGTAACGAGATAAGTTCTTTGTTATCGACTGAGTGAAAAATTCATCCATAATGAATTCTGACATATTATATAAAACAAAAAAGTCGAAGAATAATATCATCTCATCTCTTTTGCTATCTCTATGTTCGAATGAAAACATTTACATTCATTTCATTTCATACATTCATTCATTTTCCTCTTTAAACACGTTCTATATATATGTTGTGGCCAAACTTAGAATTCGGCCAGATTCCGAATTTGGCCGGGCAAACTTAGAATCGAGATGCCTACACATGGAAAATTCCGAATTTGGCCGGCCAAAACTGGAATTCTAACTCCGGCTGGCCAAATTCCGAATCTGGCCGGCCAAAACTGGAATTCTGCTTTTCACCGCCCAAACTTAGAATCTAAACGGCCAAAACTGGAAGTCTAACTCTGGCTGGCTAAATTCAGAATTTGACGGGCCAAAATTGAATTTTAATTTTGACCAGGTCAGAATCGAAATTTAGAATTATTATTATTATACTATTATTATATAATATTATATTAATTATTCATTCAACATAGTTTTCTTACATTTCATGAACAATGGCTTATTCAGAGGTTTAATATGCACACCGACTTTGAATAAAATCGAGCATTTGATCTTGGCGATGACTTTTCCTATAACCCAATGTTAATGGAACAGGTCTACCGAATTAAGAATTACAAATAAACACTTCCCCACATATAATGGGTTTTTAGGGATTTTTTTTTCTTTTATTTAGGTTTTTGTGTTCCTCTACTGGGTTAGTACTGCATTAGTAAATAACAAGCATGCAAATTATATTATATACAATTATAATTCAAGTTCTTCAAGTAGAATTTTTCTATATGCAAAACATGACCTTTCTCCAATATAGCATCTTCGTTTCTCTATGTACAAATATCTAATTTTCAATTCTCTATCGCTTTATTCTATATTTTTGTAACCACCAGTTCGTTTTGAATGACATTTTGTAGAACACTTAACATTAGCTTTTTTGCAAGTTCAATGTTTCGTTGCACATTGAGATTTACAATCACACGTCGCACCACTCACTGATCCGCGTACAAATAGTTTACAAGCTTCAATCAATGTTATATTTTCCAATTCAGCAATATCAACAGCTTTTAATTCAGACGGACAGACATGTTTCAATGGAACCAAACTTTCGACTGTAAATGATGAAACCAGTTTCCCAAACTGACAAGCTAGTTGAAAAGCAACCTCATCTCCTTTTTTTTCTTCTGAAAATATTAAACATGGTAAAAGTTTCGGATCTGTATTCGTTCTGTCAACATCATGAATATTGATACCATGCTTTGAGAGAGACTTGTACTTGTTATACTATTTCATTTTTCGTATCTTTCGGTATTAATTCTTTGTTAGATATATCTCGGGCGTGACGATCTCTTTTCTTGTTTTTGTTAATGCCTATGGTATAGCTACTTCTTTTTCTTTCACATTTCGTACCATTCAGTCTATTATATTCTTTTGTTAAAAAGTTCGAAAATACTTTTTTACATTTCTCTCTTTCTTCAATTTTAATATAAATAGTGGTGTCAAGTAATCATTTTGCATATATCATGTGCATATCATTCTACTGTACCAAAATAAAGTAAAAAGAACTCATTATTCAAAATCTTCATTCTTTTAGAAAGACTCGACCTTCTTTTTACCTACAAATCAACTAGATGTTCAACGTAATTTAATCTAATACTAATATATTCCGATGATGTACACTATAGATTCTCTGCCTTGAGTATGATCCGTGATTTGTTGTACAATAACTCCAACAGGTCAAGACAAGTGCTGGTAACGAAGATACTATATACGCTCCCAAATTTTGCTCCCAATAAGAACGGATCCTGTTGTCACCCTAAACATTTGCAACATTTTTTGATACCTTTGCTTTTCTTTATGATCCGATGTTAAGCAAACAAACTCATATTTCATAATCTTAAAAGTATATGCGTAATTTTTTCTTAAAGAGTTAAAGTTGTCAAGTAGGATATAAAAGAGTTACAATGAGTTTATTTCTGAGTAAGTTACTTACTCATACTGAGTTTGACGTTTAAGAAGATACACTATTAATTAATCGTCCTTGTTAGGCACATGGACTCTACTGTTGTCTTCTGTTTCTAGTAATTTCCCTGAATAGTAAAATACGCTGACGATACATGTATCGTCGAACACGTGCCTGTGTTTCTTGTGTAACGTATATCTGTATAAAGAAAAACATACATAAGAGCCTCAGGCTACAGTGTATCTTCTTTATCTCACATACGACAAGATGCGCACATACAGATTTCTGTATATGATATTAAAAAGGAGATAAAGCACTATACTCCAAGACTCCATAGTTTTAAAAGTATGATTTATTATGCAAAGTCAATTCAGCCAAACTAGTCTACTGATTAGATATTACTCCCACTGCATTGATAGATCAGATGGTAAACACTCATCAAGTATGATAAAAATCTATCAATGTTCGAGATGAAATTGCAAACAACCTTATAAATTTGGTGTAGATCCGAAATAGATAGTTAACGAAGAGATTTGGCACTCTATATCAAGAAAAGATGTTCTCTAACTTAGTCCAAAAACATTTGCATTTCTTAGAGCTTCGAATACAGAAAACATTCCACATTTTTCCGCTTGGAAAATTTTCCAAAAGTATTCCACGTACGCTCGT